CTGTCCTGGTGATTAGGGCACTCAGCTTGCAATCTGTGGGACAGAACACAAGACAAACTGTCCTGGTGATTAGGGCACTCAGCTTGCAATCTGTGAGACAGAACACAAGACAAACTGTCCTGATGGTTAGGGCACTCAGCTTGCAATCTATGTGTAATGAGTTCAAATTCTTTCATCAAACATGCTCATCCTTTCAGCTGTAACGGCATTATAATATGATGGTCAATCCTACTATTCATTGGCAAAAGAGTAGCCTAAGAGATGGAAATGGGTGTGTTGACTAGCTGCTATCTTTCTCTAGTCTATCACTTCAAAATTAGGGATGGCTAGCACACATAGCTCCTGAGTAGCTTTGCATGAAATTCGACAATCAAAGAAAGCAAGACAAGCCATAACAGACACAAAACAATAATGTAGTAAAAACAAGATTGTCACAAAACTGAACATAAACAATAACCAGGGTACACACAAGACAAAACATCAGTCACATTCATTACTGTCACAAAATGGTATTTTAATAGAAATTCTGGTAGTTACAGAAAAGAAGAAGCAAGAGAAACTATGATAATCAAGAAATATTACTTAAGATATATTTCATGTAGGTATTCTACATGATGCTCTTATTAACCAGATGTCAAACAGTCATAAAGTGTAAATCCTGTTACTTAGGTAAACATTAAATATGCCAAAAGCTAGAAACTCTATCACTATGGCACTGTGTCTGTCCCACCAACCCCTGAAGAGTGACCCCATCTCAAAGGCTGACACAGATCACAGATGCATGTACAAATTAGTATGAATTAGGGGATTACTCTCCTATGAATGTTGTTTGAAATAGTCAGTTACATATGCAGTAATACAAACCAGTGTATAAACAAAACATAACTTTGATAGATTGTTTAAGCAGAGTATTCATGATGAAACTTTGTAGAATGGACGGCAACTGCCTGCTGTAGAGACACAAGTGTAGAGGATGACGTTTCGAAAGTCTTCTGCCTTTCATCTTCAGGTCAGTGTGTATAAGGTGTTGTTGGTCTTTATAGTATTCTGGTGGATTGTGGAGAGCATGTTATGATTGGTTGGTTTATAAATGTTTCTGATTGGAAGAGAGATTTCCTGTAGATTCAACCAATGGTAACCACAGGTTACTAACCTCTAATCCAGAATCTCTGTTTAGTGAAACTTTAATTGTGTTAATATAAAATGATTCTTTAATTTTTCTTGTCTTCCAAAATGTGTATGTATCGATGATTCTAGTTTTTTCCCTGTTTATTTTGTGTACAGTTGACATGGCGTGTTCTGCAATGGCTGAATTTTGTGTTTTCATGAGTCTTGTACTGTCTTTATGTTCTTTTATTCCTATAGTGAGTCTTCTTCCCGTTTCTCCAATGTATGACGTTTTTGTATTTCTCATTGGTACATTCTGTTTGTTTTTTACCAGAATGAACCTTAATGTCTTGTAGGATTTCCACTGGACTTCTATGTTGAATTTCTTGGCTATGCATCTGAGTTTTTCACTGAAATTTTGCAGGTAGGGGAGGTAAATGATAGTAGTGGTAGTGTTTTCCTTTTTTTTCTATTGTGGTCTTCTTCTGGGAGTTTTGATGATCTTTTGGCCTTCTGTTTCGATGGATGTCTCATTGCAAATGTTTTCTGCTCTCTTGTTTAGGTATTGGATAATACCACGTTTTATCGAGGTTGGATGATAAAACTTGAAGTGTAAGTATCTGTTTGTGTGGGTGGGTTTTCTGTATACAGTTGTGGTTATTTTTCTCTCTTGTCTGCTGATGAGTATGTCAAGAAATGATAAGCTATTTTGTTCCTCTAAACAAGGATTTCAATGTTTGGTTAGATTACCTAGATGAGATTCTGTCCATGAAGCAAAGATTTTAAGTTAATGACCTTGGGAAGTATCAGATTTTATCTCTTGTTTATTGACCTTCAAAAAAACTTTCACAGAAAGAGAAAGAACTCTTAAGCCTGGTTAAATGTGTTTTTAAAATCAGAGTAGAATTCATCTAATTATGGTTAAATGTATATCTAATAGCTCAAGTTTTCCTCAATGCTTGTATCTTCTTAAGTACCTTAATTTTAAAATATGATAATAAGTGAATTAATTAATTAATTTAAGAAAAACGTGAATCTAGTTAATCTACCTCAATCCCAAACTTGTAGAAAGCATAGTTGAAAAGAAACTTCAAGCATTCTAGCAGCCCTACATCTGCTTTTGTACGAGTTACTCCTGGAAACATTACTTTTTCAAGTGGTTCTTCCTCATTTCTATGATAACGATGCAACTTCTGATGAACCTTTACAACAGCTTGGAGAGTTAGGATCAAAATCACTCCTATATAACCCTGGAGTATAAGAAAACTTTATAATTAGTAAAGAATGTTGGGAAGTTGTATTTCAAATTCATGTAATTTTAAACTAAATCTAGGAAGATACAACTGTTGTATATGATGCTCTATACACATAAAACTAATATCTATGGTGTCATTTTTACTTCACCATATAGAAGCCTAAATTAATTTAGCTATGTGAATAATGTTATGATATTTCATCTAATTCATTATTCAATATTATATAGCAACTGTTTAATGATTATATATATATATGTTAAAGATTTCTTTTCTTTTTAATCAGATTTGTAATAGTTAATTACTAAAAAATTCATGCTATAGTGGTAAATGATCATTTCTATTAAAAAAAGAATACATAAAGAATTTAAAAAAATTTCTGTATCAAATACAAGAAAAAATTATATTCCAAATTATTTCATATAATTTTCAAACAGTATATATGTTAGGGCTGTGATTCTTTATAGTAGGTGTCTGTGACTTGTTGGCAATAAATTTCAACAAAAAATGGACAGCACACAATCCAACTTGTTTTAAAATAATATATGTATTCAAATGATTTTCTCTTTTTTTTATCAAAGTCCACACAGGCAGGTTCAATTACTTTAGAACACCCTTTGCCAAGACAAATTCTTCTTCTCTATCTCTGTTATTACAATACAATCTGAGAAACTAACTTTAGAAATTGCCCTTTATGGCTAAACTGACAATCACACAGTCTAACTCTAACTTCCTTTTACTAACTTAACTTTCAGTTCTGTATCTGCATGTATTTATAACATGCGACAGAAACATCTAGCCCTCTAGTAACAACAATATTACACATAATGAGAAAAACTTAGAAGCTTTGAGTAAGATGTCAACAACATTACAAAAGCCTAGTACAACAATTAAACTACATGCACAACATATGACCCATACAGAGTTATGTAATGAAACTTGTCATAACTATCACTTCTAAAATAATTAACTTTTAACACTCTTTTCATGAAAACTAAATAATCATTAAATTACTATATAAATTAAATAATAACACTTAAATGAACAGTCTGGTACATCCAACACTATATATAAGCTTGAGGTTTGGTTTTGGTACACACACCTCTCATATTCAAAAGTTTAAATGCCTATATTCATCAAACAAACAATATTTTAGTTGAGTATATAAGTGAGTTGTTTCTTACATTTCACTGTATCCCATTCTTAGACAAACATCAGATCACAGTATGTCATTTTTATACAAAAACAGGTCATATTATGTCATTTTTATACAAACAACAGATCACTATGTGATTCTTATACAAACCACAGATCACTGTACTTCATTCTTAGAAAGGTCAATGCATATGAATTATTTCTTACATTACAGTCTTCAGTTAACATGTATTTTTCTGAAGCAAAGAACATAATGTTACATATGAATGAACTATTTCTGAATGAACAATACATTGTTGTGTATAAATTAGCTTTTTTGGATACATTTTATAACACGAATTAGATACATCTGTACTTTAACATATAAAATAGCTGGAAACAATCAAATGAAATGTCCTTCTGACAATTACACTATGGTATTCAAGAAGCTTGGGTGAAAAAACTAGATTTATAGAAACAAATTAATGTTATACTTACCTTGCAATAAACAAGCAAGTCATCAGTTTTTCTGAAACCAACCCACATTCTGTTGTCAATAATATCAGTCAACAAAGAAGGATGAACACTGGTGTTCTGATCCACATAATTCATATCCTGAAACAATCAATTTTCAACAAAGAATTTTATATCTATTTGTTTCTTAATGCCAACATTTTTATAAACAACTAAAGTTTTTACAAACTAAACAAAAGGTGATTTTTAAAAGGAATAAATGATAGAAAAATTCTTGACACCATTTATCAAAAAATATAAACTAAGAATACTTTTTCCAATGATATATATTACTGAACATTCATAGAAGCAGTCAATAGTCAGAGATTCAAAGTTGATTTAAAAGAAAAAAAATAACAAACATAATTTCTTTTTATTTTAAACTTCTACCGTTGCTTCATCTTGAAAAAAATCCACTTTAAAATCTTGCAAGAAATTAAAACAGAATATGCTGACATGTATTTTCAAGTTTCTGAGCAGAATAAATTATTAAAAAGTTTCTAGTCTGGAAATATTAATTTATGTATCCACCATTTGATAAGTCACACTGGTATTATGTCTAAAGTTTCTCACACACACACACATCCATCTTAAAGAATCAAAACAGCATCATTCATATTATATTTCATCTTCCAATTACTATGTTGATATGTGGATTTCTTTATTAGATTATGTATTAAACATGGAGTTATTATTATCTAAGAATGAACATTGGCATACTTTTAAGGGCTTTTTTGATTAAAATGTTGTACTAAGGGCCTGTTGACCTACCTTTTGGTTGATACGACCAATACATTATTCAAATTAATGCTATGTGAATGTTAATCCATCAGGTTGGTAGGTACTGAATGGAGATAAACTGTTGTATAAAAGAAGAAGAATACAGATGCTGTTTCTACTGGCTGGGGTATCTCGACTGTTACGGCAAAGAATACACATGCCGTTCCTACTGGTTAGGGTATCTCGACTGTTAGGGCAAAGAATACACATGCAGTTCCTACTGGCTGGGGTATCTCGACTGTTAGGGCCTATAATACTGGTTTAACTGTGAGTGATATCACATGTCTTCAGCATTGATGGAAGAGTCACTTGTATTTTTGTAAACTTGATAAGATTAGTTCTATATTTTTTGTGATGTACTGTTTACTACATTAATACCTGTGTCCTGGTCTAACACGTACCCAGCAATAGAATCAATAAATAATTTCAGGCTCTAATAAATAACATGAAAATTTCAAAAGTGTTTCTAACCTGGATAAATTTACCTTTATCATCATGTTTCATATACCTAAAATTCTGAACTTTTTTTCCAAAGACAAATTAAAGCTTAAGTGTCTTAAATACTGAAAAACAATCAATTTATAAATAAACTTCGTTCTCTATTCAACCACACTTTGTTTTTGTCTCTGAGAAATTATACACTCATTTGGCGCATAGGTTTTAGACTAAAGTTCAATTCTAGAAACTCACAGAACAGTTAACCATCCAACCATACTGGTCCACAAACTTCAACTGGTATATCATTTTGGTCAGTAGTAAGACAGCAGCCCAGACGGCACAACAATGAGAAAGAAATGTTTGGAGAGCTTTGAAAGGAAGCGCCACAGTGACAAATATCACAAAAAGCAAGTGAACAGCACAGACCTATAAAAAATGAAATAAAAAACAAACAAGATTTTTTAATACCAGAATTACAAGTGAGGGAGGGCTTATCATACAAGTGAAAAACATATTAACTGAAGGAATAGATGATTTCAGGGCCTAACATCATACAAGTGAAAAACATGTTAACTGAAGGAATAGATGATTTCAGGGCCTAACATCATACAAGTGAAAAACATGTTAACTGAAGGAATAGATGATTTCAGGGCCTAACATCATACAAGTGAAAAACATGTTAACTGAAGGAATAGATGATTTCAGGGCCTAACATCATACAAGTGAAAAACATGTTAACTGAAGGAATAGATGATTTCAGGGCCTAACATCATACAAATGAAAAACATGTTAACTGAAGGACTAAACGATTTGAGGGCCTAACATCATGAAAGTGAAAAACATGTTAACTGAAGGACTAGACAATTTAAGGGCCTAACATCATGCAAGTGAAAAACATGTTAACTGAAGAACTAGACAATTTGAGGGCCTAAATTACCCCATCATGAAATTTTTAAAACATTGATAAACATTGCCATATCCTACAGCATGAATATTTTTCACTTATGGGTTTTTGAGTTGTTTTTTTTTAACTCACCAAATAGTAAACTAAATATGCGAGTTAAAAAAAACTCAAAAACTCTGTAAATATTATACACACACACACACCACCATCATAAGAGGTCTAACTGTATTTTTTTGGTTTACTGACCCGAGCTGTGCTGATGAGCCTTGAATGGGCAAAACTGCAGTCCACAGCAGAAGGTGTGGTAAATCAAAGAATATGTCAGGCCTATATATCATAGATTACATTTTCTATTTTACCTTTGCTGAAAAGAAAAGCAAGTCTGTAATATAATATTTTCTAACTCAAATCTCACTATTTCTTGCTTTTTGTAATCCTAAGAAATCAAATACCATGATAAGTGTAACTTTGTTGGAGTTTAGTTAAGATTTTTCTGAGAAAATCCAGTTTGTGATGAAAATCAAGTAAAAACTGTATAATAAAATGGCCGCTATCCAGGACATGTTTATATATCAACTAAACTACTTAAACTTTAGTGTCAACAAAAAATCCATCCTAAAAATAATCCTACAAATATACATCATTAAATAAAACTATCTATGGTCCAGAAGTCCTAATCCTTAAAAAAACACATACTGACATATAGGATGATAATCACTAATGTACGTTGCAATTTCTATTACCTTACAAAGACATTCAGGATGTACATATGAATGGTAATTATAAAATACATAAACTTCAGCTTAATTATAGCATTCCAAGGATTTGTCAGCTTTCATGCATAAACTTCAGTAAACTTTATCATTTACAGGATTTGTTAGCTTTCATGCATAAACTTCAGTAAACTTTATCATTTACAGGATTTGTTAGCTTTCATGCATAAACTTCAGTAAACTTTATCATTTACAGGATTTGTTAGCTTTCATCAGTAAACTTCAGTGTTTACAGGATTTGCCAGCTTTCACATGTAAACTCCAGTACACATCAGCTTAATTATAGCTTCTACAAGATTTGTCAACTTTATTTATGTCTATTTTACTGGTTATCCATTCACTGTAGTGTTCCCAGATTTGGGCATCACAGTAGCTATTTTATTGGTTATCCATTCACTGTAGTGTTCCCAGATTTGGGCATCACAGTAGCTATTTTGTTGGTTATCCATTCACTGTAGTGTTCCCAGATTTTGG